CTACTACTACACTACTACTACTACTACTACTACTACTACTACTACTACTACTACTACTACTACTACTACTACTACTACTACTACTACTACTACTACTGCAGCTACTACTACTACTACTACTACTACTACTACTACTACTACTACTACTACTACTACTACTACTACTACTACTACTACTACTACTACTACAGAATACTACTACTACTACTACTGCAGAATACTACTACTACTACTACTACTACTACTACTACTACTGCAGCTACTACTACTACTACTACTACTACTACTACTACTACTACTACTACTACTACTACTACTACTACTACTACTACTACTACTACTACTACTACTACTACTACTACTACTACTACTACTGCTACAGCACTACTACTACTACTACTACTACTACTACTACTACTACTACTGACTACTACTACTACTACTACTACTGCTACTACTACTACTACTACTACTACTACTACTACTACTACTACTACTGCTACTACTACTACTACTACTACTACTGCTACTACTGCTACTACTACTACTACTGCTACTACTACTACTACTACTACTGCTGCTGCTGCTGCTGCTGCTGCTGCTGCTGCTACTACTACTACTACTACTGCAGAACTACTACTACTACTACTGCTACTGCTACTACTGCAGAATACTACTACTACTACTGCTACTGCAGAATGCTACTACTACTACTACTACTACTACTAAATCCTCCTCATCATAAAAGTAAAGTTCAGAACATTGAAGTTTGTTCAAACTTTTGACGTTTCAGACTCGACTCACATCAGACTGTGCCGCTCCACAGATCTGACTCGACTGATCCTGATCCTGATCTTCTCTCTGTTGTGTCTGTGTGTTTTCAGTTTGGAGGGACGTTTCGAGGACGAGGAGCTGCAGCAGATTCTGGACGACATACAGACCAAGAGGAGCTTCCAGTACTAGACCAGGACCAGGACCAGGACCAGGACCGGCTCTGGACTGGGGTTCTAAATCCAGACCATCATGAGGACTCAGGAGTGTTCCCAGTGAGTCCAGGAGCAGGACTCGACACATTCTGGACTCTTTGTGTGTTACGTTTGTGTGAACTTTGACTTGAGTTTTTTTTATTAAACCTTTTGTACAAACGTTTGTCTGAGTCAAATCCTGTCGGACGTCCAGTTTTTATTCATCAGAAATTATTCAAAAGATTCTGCTTCAGTCAGACTGTGTGTGTATAGTGTGTGTGTGTGTGTATTTGTGTTTATGTGTGTGTCTGTGTGTGTATAGTGTGTATGTGTGTGTGTGTGTTTATGTGGGTGTGCGTGTGTGTGTGTGTTTATGTGTTTATGTGTGTGTGCAGAAGTTGAAATCAAACCTCAGAGTTTTTATTCTGTGTTATTTATTAAGAGTTAAAGTGGTTAAAGCTTCACTGCGGAACATGATTTCACCTCGGAACAGTTCAAACCAAAACCCACCGTCTCTGTCAGAGTTTATTTAACCATAATCCAAAAACCGACGAGTTTATTTTAAAATCTGTGAAATGATGTAGAAAATGAATTTTTCCAACACAAAAAAAAAAAAAAAAACTGATAAAAGTTCAAGAAGATTTAAAACTGAACTTCAGGTCGTGTTCTGATGTTCTGATGTTCCTGGTCACACTCAGAGCTCGACTTGTGTTTGTTTGAGTAAATCTTAACGCTCTGTTCCACCTTATGATGTCATCAAGTGGTCTTTTTTTTTTTTTTTTTTTTTTTTTAAACGTTCTCAGCTCCTTCTCCGTTTAGTTGAGTCGAGTCCTTCAGGTCCAGGACTGAAATGTTCCAGATGATTCTCGTGAAGGTGAAGTGTGGACTTTAAAAACACAGTGGAGCACTTCCTGTATCACCACACGATGACATCACCAGGTGGAACAGAGCAGAGGATTGCGTTCCTCTATCCGTTGATGCAGACGCCGTCCCCTCGGTCCTGGTCCTGGTCCTGGTCTTGGTCTTGGTCCTGGACGTGGGGCAGGACTCCGCACTCGGTCTGGACCATCCGGACCGTGGAGCGGTTCTGGACCCGGACCTCGTAGTCCCGGAGCTGGATCCAGAACCCGGCGTTGATCCGGATAAAAGGACGAGACTCCAGAACCACGCGGAACGACTGGGCCAGAGACAGACCGGAGAACCTGAGGACCAGAACCAGAACTTAAAACCAGAACTAGGACTGGGCCAGAGACAGACTGGAGAACCTGAGGACCAGAACCAGAACTAAACCTGTCTAAACTGGGTCTAAGTCAGGACTAAAGCAGAAGTGAAAAAGGACCGGACCAGGACCGGACCAGGACCGACCTGATGAGAAAGGCCAGGACCAGCGCCGGGGAGCGGCTGCGTCCGGCCGTACAATGGACCAGACAGTTGTGGTTCTGGTTGAGGTTCTGGTGGATCTTCTCTGACACTGGGTCGAAGTACTGGTCCAAAGAGGCGTGAGGCAAGTCCTGGACCGGGACCTCGACCACCTCCAGACCCGGGACCTGACAGAGACCACAGGAAGTACTCACTCTTCTAGTAGCAGTAGTAGTACTGTAGTACTGTAGTAGTAGTAGTAGTACTGTAGTACTGTAGTAGTAGTAGTAGTAGTAGTAGTACTGTAGTAGTAGTAGTAGTAGTAGTAGTAGTACTGTAGTAGTTTTAGTACTGTAGTAGTAGTACTGTAGTAGTTTTAGTACTGTAGTAGTACTGTAGTAGTTTTAGTACTGTAGTAGTAGTACTGTAGTAGTTTTAGTACTGTAGTAGTACTGTAGTAGTACTGTAGTACTGTAGTAGTGCTGTAGTAATAGTACTGTAGTAGTTTTACCTGTGGGTACTTGAGTGGTGTTATATAGTAGTAGTAGTAGTAGTAGTTTTACTTGTGGGTACTTGAGTGGTGTTATGTAGTAGTAGTAGTAGTAGTAGTAGTAGTAGTACTTGTGGGTACTTGAGTGGTGTTATGTAGTAGTAGTAGTAGTAGTAGTAGTAGTAGTAGTACTTGTGGGTACTTGAGTGGTGTTATTCCGCTCGCGTTGACGATGAGTTTGATTTTTCTTCGAGTCAAAACTGCAGAATTCAACGACGAATCCAGATCCGACACAAACAGACCCGGACACACCTGAGACATACACACAGAGACCTGTCACATACACACAGAGACACACCTGAGACATACACACAGAGACCTGTCACATACACACAGAGACCTGTCACATACATGACACCTGTCACATACACACAGAGACCTGTCACATACACACAGAGACCTGTCACATACACGACACCAGTCACATACACACAGACCTGTCACATACATGACACCTGTCACACACACACAGAGACCTGTCACACACACACACACACAGAGACCTGTCACATACATGACACCAGTCACACACACACAGAGACCTGTCACATACACACAGAGACCTGTCACATACATGACACCTGTAACACACATAACACCTGTCACATACATGACACCTGTCACACACATGACACCTGTCACATACACACACGACACCTGTCACACACATGACACCTGTCACATACATGACACCTGTCACACACATGACACCTGTCACATACACACACGACACCTGTCACATACACACAGAGACACATCTGAGACATACACACACAGAGACCTGTCACATACACATGACACCTGTCACACACACACATGACACCTGTCACACACATGACACCTGTCACATACACACGACACCTGTCACACACACGACACCTGTCACATACATGACACCTGTAACACACATAACACCTGTCACATACATGACACCTGTCACACACATGACACCTGTCACATACACACACGACACCTGTCACACACATGACACCTGTCACATACATGACACCTGTCACACACATGACACCTGTCACACACATGACACCTGTCACATACACACACGACACCTGTCACATACACACAGAGACACATCTGAGACATACACACACAGAGACCTGTCACATACACATGACACCTGTCACACACACACATGACACCTGTCACACACATGACACCTGTCACATACACACGACACCTGTCACACACACGACACCTGTCACACACATGACACCTGTCACACACAGACTTGTCACACACATGACACCTGTCACACACAGAGACTTGTCACACACATGACACCTGTCACATACATGACACCTGTCACACACATGACACCTGTCAGTCACATGACACCTGTCACACACAGAGACTTGTCACACACATGACACCTGTCACACACGACACCTGAGACACACACAGAGACCTGTCACACACGACACCTGTCACATACATGACACCTGTCACACACACACGACACCTGTCACATACATGACACCTGTCACATACACACAGAGACACACCTGTCACATACACACAGAGACCTGTCACATACACGACACCAGTCATATACACACAGAGACCTGTCACATACACACAGAGACCTGTCACATACACGACACCAGTCACATACACACAGAGACCTGTCACATACATGACACCTGTCACACACACACGACACCTGTCACATACATGACACCTGTCACATACACACAGAGACACACCTGTCACATACACACAGAGACCTGTCACATACACGACACCAGTCACATACACACAGAGACCTGTCACATACACGACACCAGTCACATACACACAGAGACCTGTCACATACATGACACCTGTCACACACACACAGAGACCTGTCACACACACACAGAGACCTGTCACATACACACAGAGACCTGTCACATACACGACACCAGTCACACACACACAGACACCTGTCACACACACATGACACCTGTCACATACACACACATGACACATGACACCTGTCACACACATGACACCTGTCACATACATGACACCTGTCACATACACACACACATGACACCTGTCACACACATGACATACCTGTCACATACACACATGACACCTGTCACACCTGTCACACACATGACACCTGTCACACACACACACACACGACACCTGTCACATACACACAGACTGACACAATGACATGTACACACACACACAGACCTGTCACATACACATGACACCTGTCACACACACACATGACACCTGTCACACACATGACACACCTGTCACACACACACACATGACACCTGTCACACACACATGACATCACACACACACACCTGTCACACACAGAGACCTGTCACATACACACACATCACACAGACACACTGACCTGTCACACATACACATGACACATGACACACAACACACCTGTCACACACACATGACCTGTCACATACAGACACCTGTCACATACATGACACACATGTCACACACATGACACCTGTCACACACATGACACCTGTCACATACACACAGAGACACACACACACACACATGACACCTGTACACACACACTGTCACACACATGACACCTGACACACTGTCACACACATGACACCTGTCACATACATGACACCTGTCACACACAGAGACCTGTCACATACACATGACACCTGTCACACACATACATGACACCTGTCACATACATGACACCTGTCATATACACACAGAGACACACCTGTCACATACACACAGAGACCTGTCACATACACACGACACCTGTCACACACATGACACCTGTCACATACACACGACACCTGTCACACACACACACGACACCTGTCACACACGACACCTGTCACACACACACTGACACCTGTCACACACATGACACCTGTCACACACAGAGACTTGTCACACACATGACACCTGTCACACACAGAGACTTGTCACACACATGACACCTGTCACATACATGACACCTGTCACATACATGACACCTGTCGCACATACACATGACACCTGTCACACGACACCTGTCACACCTGTCACACCTGTCACACAGACTCACCTGAGACACAGACATGAGTGACCCTCTGCTCAGACCCTCTGAGCTTCAGGCTGGACTCAGGAGGATCTGGACTTGGACTCAGGAGGATCTGGTCTTGGTCTCAGGAGGATCTGGTCTTGGACTCAGGAGGATCTGGTCTTGGACTCAGGAGGATCTGGTCTTGGACTCAGGAGGATCTGGTCTTGGTCTCAGGAGGATCTGGTCTTGGTCTCAGGAGGATCTGGTCTTGGGCCTGAGCGACGGCGCAGGAGTGAGAGGACGGAGGATCTCAGTGAGCTCCAGTTCAGCGGCACCGATCAAACACTTCAAAACAAATAAAAATGGTTTTAAAAGTGAATAAACTCAGTGGAGGTAAAAATGATCCTGTGACTCTTTTTGGACACAATCTGTTCTTGACAAATGGTTAAAAAGTTTTATTGTCAGAAGTGGGATTCGAACCCACGCCTCCAGGGGAGACTGCGACCTGAACGCAGCGCCTTAGACCGCTCGGCCATCCTGACACACAGACCCCCGCCCGCGGAGACACACTTAAACCGGAAACAAACACAAACACGCCACAAAACACGGCGCAGTTTTAACGACTCACTAATCCCCGTGTGACTCGGTGTGACTCGGTGTGACTCGGTGTGACTCGGTGTGACTCGGGACATGTGCGGGCAGAGCGCGGGTCACGGGTCTGTGACTCACCGCGCGGATAAAAACTCCCAGTTTCATTTCTGTTTTTGGAGGAAGACGCCCCGAGGTGAGCCGCACACACCGAACACACAACACACACACACACACACTTTATCAAACACACACACTTTTAGCAAACACACACATTTTTATACATTTTTCTAACGTGAATTCCGCGGTGGTTCGGAATAACCCGTGTTCACCGTGTTATAACTTGTTTACTGCGGAGCAACAGCGAACCCCGTGCAACAAACCCACTAAAAGTACGTTCTCTTACGTTTTACTTCTAAATAATTATTTGAAAATACATGTTTAACTATTCTTAAGGTTAAATATGAATCTGTGACGCGTTCGGCTTTAGAATAAAACACGAATGTTGAGCAGATTTGACAAAAGTCTTGAGTTCACCTTCAGGAGCTTCGACGCTTTTCGACGCAAATCGTCTCCGTTTCTGCGGAAGAGGCGCTGAAACTGACGCAAAACTGACGCAAAACTCTGGAAATAATAAAGAGCGAAACAGCAGAAGGTTTAGAGAAACTGCGGCGTTTTAAAGTTTATTTTTAGCCAAACGCCGCTTCCGCAGATCTTTGGTTTAGCGCAGATTTCAGAATAAAAGCGTCGAACTAAACTATGGATTTATTCAAATATCTAAACCAAGACTTTTAAATCATAATGTGGAAATAACGCTGCATTTTGATCAGATAAAAAGTTCATGTTAAATGTTACAAAGAAATCACACGTTCACACATCTGCAGTTCCGTGTTTGTCCAGCAGGTGGCGCCAGAAAAACGACTCAGCACTAATTACAAAACATCAACACTAAGAGAGAGAAAACTGCAAATATTTATGTTACGGAAAGTTTTACAGAAAGAACCGATGGTGTGACGCTAACCGAGGCACTGCTCTGTCTGACCAGAAGGACCTGACTGACCTGAGCTGTTCAACTAAAATAAAATCAAAATTAAAATAAAAAAAACTGGGACACGCCCGAGTCGGGATGTTTGGTAAGAATAAACTTGTGAAACGAGTTTGGAATTAAGACAAACTGTAATCAGAGTCACATGAGTCACATTTTATTTCATTTTTTAAGCTGTTTTTCTGTTTTTTTACCAAAACAAATGACACTTTATGTTTCTGTTTCTAGACATTTTTTTTGTAAAAAGTTGAGACAAATCAGTAGTTTTGTATAAATCTGCAGGGACAGAGACTCGGACATGTGAACTCTCGAAACAAATTCAAACATAAATAATCATCATGAAATAAACAAAAAAAAAGAGAGTCAATAAAAGAGAGAGAAGCTGAACAGAACCGAGGAAGAAATAAGAGAGAAAAGCTGCTTCAAAATGACAAAACACAAAGAAAAAGTGACTCTGCAGATTCTTGTTCAGGCAAAATCATTTTTCTTCATTTCGCCCTCGTTTCACAATTTTATTTTTACAAACCACCACAAACCGAGAGTCTCCCAGACTTTTATTTTGAAATTCTGGTGACGTTATGTCAAATCAAACTCCTGAACAGAACCGTGACCGCTCCGATCCACTCTGACCGCTCGCTCCAAACCGCTCCAAACACTCTGACCGAACCACTCTGACCGCTCCAAACGTCTCTTTAAATAAAACACTGGGAGTTTATCTGGAGTTTTGTGTCCGTTTGCGTGGAGTCCAGCTCACGTTATTTCTACAGCAAATTGGAACAAAAAAAGAAAAGGTCAAGAACAGTTTTCCAAACACACGTCGGTGGGTAAAGGTCGACTTTTAACCCTTTAAAGGTTTTATTTTATTGCACAAAAGTGACTCTTGTGAGCTTTAAGTCGAGTCACGACGCTGTTCCCTCCTGGAAACACGAGCTGGAGTCGGGTTTGTGTGAGCGACTCTTTACATCTGAAAACCTCCAAACGCTCCGTTCCACCTGATGATGTCATGAAGTGGCAGCTTCCAAGTGAACGGCTTTGTTTGACCTTTTGTTCAGTAGAGACGGGAAAAACACAGTGGAGCACTTCCTTTATGTCTCATAACTTCACTTGAGGAATATTCTGTCCGGCGTAGAAAAAATCATCACTTATAAAATCATCCGAGTCTGTTTAACTTCTTAATCGTATTTTCCCCATTAAAAGTTTATGGGACAAATCAAAGTGAATCAGACCGTGTCAGTTCGTCCCGACCTCGAGGCTCCGTTCTACTCGTTTATACAAATGTTCTTGTCTAACGCTCTCGTCGTCGCGCTCAGAACAGGAAGTGCTCCCCCCCCCCGATAGGATTTGGACTCCTCCTACTTTTTTCTGATCATTATTTCTCACGTCATTGACTTTGATTATATATTTCTACATATTCACGAACTTTTAAGGTATTTTAAGGAATGTTTTGTTGGAGAACAACTTGGTGTTTTGTGTCAATGTAACGTGTTGTCACTTTTTATTTTGTTCTATGTGAACTAAACCACAGCGGCTCCTTCTGACTCTGGCTCCAGTGACTCCCGTTAGAATATTGTGGCTCGTGTCTCTCGCCATTTTACTCTTTAAATGTTCAAAATAAAAGACAGTAAACGAAAAATAAAAAGTGAAATAAAGCCAAAAATGGTTCAAAAAAGAATTAAAAATAAAGAATTACGAGGTGTTAGAAGCCAGAGAGTAAAAATGGGTCTTAATGCGTGACTTAAAACTCTCCGCTGCGTCGGCGCGGTAACTGCTGAACATTCCGCCGTAGACACACACGAAGAGCACCCCCAGAGCGACGTAGAGCGTTTTGCTTTGGTCGGTTCTAACGTGATTCTCTTGTCTTTTCTGACGCAGCAACATGACAAAGGATCAAAACGAGAAAAACAGAAGCGGAACCAAGACTTCAGTCCTGCCTCAAGTCCGGTACCACCCGAGTATCCAGAACCCTGCCCAGAACCCTGCCCAGAACCCTGCCAAACACCCTGCCAAACACCCTGCCAAACACCCTGCCAGTCAGACCAGGAACCCTCAGAAATCCTCCAAAAATGAACCAAACGGACTGAGGTTTGGTGGAGAAGATGAACCTCAAAGTTTGTCTGAAAACACAAGACCAGATTTGAAAAGTGAGAATTTCGGAGCTTTTGACGGAACCAAAATTATTGCAAAAAATTCAGGAAACAAAATCCAAAACACTACAAACTGTGGAACTTTTTTGGAAAATGTTCAAATGTCCACGAGAAGTTCCAGAAGTGTAAAAAGTGGAGCTCGGACAGAACCGAAGCGCGATTCGAAAACTCAAACTTCAGGAAAGAAAATCGTACCTCAGGTTTGGTACCACCCGAGTATTAAGGTCTCAGGAGTCGCAGGAGGAACTGTGGAGTCCAGGAGGTCGCCGGAGATGGAGCGAACGAAACGCGCGGGCGAAGTGAAGGGTCGGGAGGGCGGCGCTGGAGTCCAAGACGGAG